GAGAGAGAGAGAGAGAGAGAGAGAGAGAGAGAGAGAGAGAGAGAGAGAGAGGTGGGGAGGGGGGGGCAAGTGGAAGGCGGGCCCACCTCTCCATCTGGTGTCAGTGTGTGTGTGGCACTTGCAGGAGGGATCGTCCAAGGTTGAGAGTAGCCCATCGGGCAAAGACGTGTTGGATTTCAAGCTGGTTAGGATCGATATTGGAATTCTGCCGTTTGTCGTCTTCTGGAAGTACGGCAGGCAAGACGATGGGGGTGCAATCCGCACACTGCTGTGCCGGGGTGGAGATGGGTGCTGATCTGCCGCAGCGTGGCAGCCGCGCCCAGCGCCCTCTTCACATCCCTCGCCCTGTGATTGATGGGGTTGCTGGCGCTGCCGCCGGTTTCGTCTCGAGGATGGCAGTTCAACCGTTTGATGTGCTCAAGATCCGCTTTCAGGTCAGCCTTGTGTCTTCCCCGTTCGTCCTCCGTTGTGCTTCTCCCCTTTTCCTTGTGGACTATTTATACCTCTGGGGTGAGGCGCATTTTCCCTCTCGATTGGGTCTCTTCTCTCGCTGAGGCTGTCTCTTTTTGCGACGGTTGATCCCGCTGTCATCATCAGCGATGAAATGATGCCAACGGTTATGATGGTGGGAATGCGGCCGTGCTGTTGACGAGGATGATGATGATAATGACAATGATAATGATGATGATGGTGATGATGGCATTATGGGGAGGTGAAGATGACGATGATGACGTCCATTAAGATTTCGACAAAGAAGTGGCTATACGTCAGTTTAGTGCTCGGTGATTGTGAAAATGTGATTGCAGCTTGTTCAACTCGACCCCCCTTGATGGCCACTTTTCCCGTGTTTCGCTATCCTTCTTCACCTTCGTCTACTTATTCTTGCCCTCTGTATGTGTGCGTGTGTGCGTGCGTCAGTGCGCGTCGATCAGGTGTGTGAGCGAGAGTGTTGATTGTGCGGTGTACGCGCTGACGCGCTCACATAAACATGCCTGTGGAGAGCCAGAGAATATACAGACGCGGACGGGGGGAGAGAGAGAGAGAGAGAGAGAGAGAGAGAGAGAGAGAGAGAGAGAGAGAGAGAGAGAGAGAGAGAGAGAGAGAGAGAGAGAGAGAGAGAGAGAGAGAGAACTAACAATGCTTTTACGGGGTGATCTTACAAGTAAGGATCGTCTGCCGAACGGGCGAACAGACTTCGAAAAGCGAACGGGGTATTACGTATGAGAGGAGATGAGATGGAGGGAGTATGAGGAGGATGGGGTAGGAAGCCAACGATGGAAAGAGCGGAGGAGAAGATAAGCGGGGATGATAAGCTAGGTTGGGTAAACGACTGGAGCTGAAGAGCTGCAGGATGAAGGAAAGGGAGGGGTACAGGTAGAGTGAATGAGAAGTAAGGTAGGCAAGACGATGGGGGTGCAATCCGCTCATTGTTTTCCCCAGAACACAGTGGGCATTGATTCTGCACGTATACAAGCTAATTTTCTGACCCGATGCCGTCATGATGAGGATGCGTTGTGCTCGATGGAGGACAGGTAGCCATGGTCTCATGTTAAGCCTTTTCTTGTTATGAGGATGATCGGTATCGCTAGAGGTGATTAATCAAGTGATTAACCAAGGACTAGTTGCTCGCAACTGGTGAGCAGTGCCGGATGAGATGAAATGGCTGTGATGTAAAGGAGTGGCCTCTTTGTCGTTTGGTTCTCTTAGGGCACACACACGCGCGCGTGTGCGCTACCTTTTTCCCCCTAATACAAAGGACGGTCATTATAGCTGCATTTAGACTGAAAGATACCCCAAATGCAGCTATAATGACCTTGCGTTGTATTCGGGGAAGAAGGTAGGGCTTTGTAAGACTGATCTTTTTGGGACGTTGTTGTAGTGAGATACACCAGGACGGGCCACAATTGCGGTCACATACATCCTTGAAGGTCCTGGTCTGAGAAGAGAATACCCAGTGTGCATTCGTTTCGACTTACTCGCTGTGTTCTCAGAACCAGTTGGAAAGGCACAAGACAAGTTCAATAAAGGGCCTCGCTCCACTACTCTCGACATGGTCAAAAGACAAAACTCATGGCGGTGTATCCTTCCATGTTCTAGAGGAAGATTCGCTCTCGTTTGCACATTTCGAGAGTGTTGGAGTAAGGCCCAAAAACAAAAAGGAAGAAGAAGTTGGCGTCACGTGCTGCGGAGGGGCCAGCTTAATCGCCCGGAATGGACAGGCAAAATATCTATCTATGTACAGTAAAGGGCATCGCAGTCTAGATACATTTTCGCATTCTTGATACACGCGAGCAATTGTCGCACTTGTACGTTTCCACATAATGCGGCCAGATGCCTTCCAGAGAGTCCGAATGTGAATAGGAGAAACACATACTACAAGCCCTAACATAAGATTCAAGCGAAAACTTGTCCAGCCCCCATCTTCCTACTCGCCCCCAACTCCTCTCCTTTCACCCCCACCCCCACCCCCCCAAAAAAAACCATACTTAATGCCTCTCTCTCCTCCTCCCCCCCCTCTCCTTCCCCCGGCCCTTTTCCTCTTCTTACCCTTCTGGCCGTACCCCCGACTACACATCTCACGAATACAACACATGGGCATCTCGAGTGTATACGTGACGAAATGTATATGCAGAGTGAATTAGGGCCTCGCTCCACCACTCGCCACATGCACACAAGTCTGATTATGGGTGCGTTTCTTTCCATGTTCTAGCGGAAAACGGATCTGGTGAATTCTGACCAAAAAACATACTTTATTTACGTCGGTAGTATGGAAATAGAATTTTCCCAAAAACGAGTTCCTTAACCAGTTATCATATCTTTTGCCAAATATCCCAAAACAATAAAATAAAATAAAAGATCTTTTGCCGAATGTCGTACAAGAAGACGCTTCCCAAAGCCAAAAGTATGAAAGGGATTGCCATTCATTCTCTTTTTGCAGATTTGGATTTGGAGAGTGGTGGAGTTAGGCCCTTGATGCGCACACCATTGACAACAGTATGGGCAAAAGACAAATAATGGCTGCGTATCTTTCCATGTTCTATCGGAAGATTCATTCTCTTTTTGCACATTTGGAGAGTGGTGGAGTGAGGCCCTTGATACCAACACCACTCACCATACTATGTACAAAAAGACAAATTATGGCTGCGTCGGCTCCTCCCCCTCTGCTGGTGTGTGCGAAGTGTGGTCTTTCCATGTTCCAGAGGAAAATATTGTCATTGTCTTTTGCACATTCGGTGAGTGGTGGAGCGAGGCCCTTGATGGCCACACCACTCGCCATAGTATGCACAAAAGACAAATGATGGCTGCCTATCTTTCCATGTTCTAGCGGAAAAGATTTTCACCCTCTTTTTGCACATTTGGTGAGTGGTGGAGCGAGGCCCTTGGATGCCCATGCATTCTGTTCGCCGATAGCGGGCCATAGTTGACCGGACCTTTGCCGTGGTGATGCCCGTTTGCCCCACACACACCGAGAGAGAGAGAGAGAGAGAGAGAGAGAGAGAGAGAGAGAGAGAGAGAGAGAGGGACCCTTTTGGCGTGGGTATGCCCTGTCTCTTATACACATCTAGATGTGTATAAGAGACAGAGAATACCCAGATCCCCTTCTGATTTGGGGAAGG